GTGTGTGTGTGTGTGTGTGTGTGTGTGTGTGTGTGTGTGTCTTTTTGAGACAGTCTCCCTGTAGCCCCAGCTCACCCGGAACTCACTATGTAGACCAGGCTGGCCTTGAACTCACAGTGATCCACCTGCCTCTGCCTCCCAAGTGCTAGGACTACAGGCATGCACCACCACACTCGGCTTAACTTTTTATTTTTATTTTATATGTGAGTGTATCGCCTGCATGTAAGTGCACCCATGTCATGCAGTGTCTGTGGAGGTCAGAAGAGGGCATCACATACCCTGGAACTGGAGTTAAGGATGGTTGTCAGCTGCCATGTGGGTACTGGGAAACCAAACCTGGGTCCTCTGCAAGAGCAGCCATTACTTTTATTTTTTATTTTTTAAAATATTTTATTTTTATTTTATGTGTATGAGTGTATTGCCTGCATGTGTGTGAGTGCACCCATGTCGTTCAATGCCACGGAGGTCAGAAGAGGGCATCACATCCCCTGGAACTGGAGTTAAGGACGGTTGTCAGCTGCCATGTGGGTACTGGGAACCAAACCTGGGTCCTCTGCAAGAGCAGTCAGTGCTCTTAATTGCTGAGCCATCTCTCCAGCCCCAAGATTTTTTTCATATGTGTGTCTGTGTGTATGCCATATGTTTGCAGAAGCCCATGGAGGCCAGATGAGAGTGTCAGATCCCCTGGAGCTTGAGTTCCAGGTTGTTGTGAGCCACCTGATATGGGTTTTGGGAACCGAACTCAGATCCTCTGAAAGAGAAGAGAGGGCTCCAGCCCTAAGACCTCGTTGTTATCAAACCAGGCTGGTCCCAGACCTCTGAGGTTAGGTTTTCATGCTAGGATCTTGAGGAAGCACTGAACTTGGAGGCAGGAAATCTAGGTTTTGATCCTGAGCTTTGCTGTTACTTCCTATGGACAATGAGGTCATCCTTTTTGTTGTTTGTTTGAAACAGGGTCTTGTTTGTAGCCCTGGCTGGCCTTGAAATTGCAGCAATCTTTTTCCTCTCCTGAGTGTTAGGATCACAGGTAAGTGTTACTATGCCTGGCTTTTAGTTTTCTTAGGATTTTATTTTGTGTATGTATATGTGAGTGCATGTTTGTGTATATGTGCCAGAGGCTGACATGACGTGTCTTCTTCAGTCACTTTCCACTTTTATTTATTTATTATTTTTTGTCTTTTTGAAGCAGGGTCTCCCGGTAGCCCCAGCTGTCCTGGAACTCACTATGTAGACCAGGCTGGCCTTGAACTCACAGAGATCTACCTGCCTCTGCCTCCCAAGTGCTAGGCATGTACCACCACGCCAGCTAACCACTTTTATTTATTTATTTTCTTTTTTATTCTTTCGGTCTTTTTGAGACAGGGTCTCCATGTAGCCCCAGCTGGCCTGGAACTCACTATGTAGACCAGGCTGGCCTTGATCTCACAGAGATCTGCCTGCTTCTGCCTCCCAAGGGCTGGGATTAAAGATGTGTTCTACCACACCTGGCTTCCACCTTTTTGTTTTTACTATTATTTTTCTAATTTTACATGCATGAATGTATTGCCTGCATACACACAGGTAAGTACACCTGTGTTGTGCAGTGCCTGAGGAAGTCAGAAGGTATTGGATCAAATCCCCTGGAACTGGAGTTATGGATGGTTGTTAGCCACCAGTAGATGCTGTGAACCAAACTGGGTCCTCCTCAAAAGCAAGCCAGTGCTTTTAACTGCTGAGCCATCTCTCCAGCCTGTTTTTTTTGTTTTTTGAGACAGGGTCTCCCTGTAGCTCCAACTGGCCTGGAACTCACTATGTAGATTATGCTAGCCTTGAACTCAGAGATTCCCCTGCTTCTGCCTCTTGAGTGCTGGAATTAAAGGTAAGCACCATCACGTCTGGCTCCTTTTATTCTTTAGGATAGGAATTCTGACTGAGCCCGAAGTACTGGTTGGCTTTATTGGGTGGCCAGCTAACCCTAGGGATCCACCTATCTCTGCTCATTCCCTCAACACTAGGGTTGCAGATATATGCCACCATACTTGACTTTACTGAGCCATCTCCCCATATCCCCAGGTTTTTTTAAAATAGGATCTTGCTATAGGGTGCAAACTGACTGTGTAATCCAGGCTGGCCTCTAACTTGTGATCCTACTGCCTCAGCCTCCTGATAGTTGGGATTATCGGTGTGCCTCCCCCATCCCAATGCCTCCCCCATCCCCTTTTTTATAAAGGTAGGGGCAGATGATGTTGAAAGAATGTTTTGTTTCTAGAAACACATTGTTTTGCATCTCAGGAACTCTCTCTTTCCGACCACCCAGATCTGACTCTCGCTGTGCCCATCTGTAACTCTCTGGCCATCGTCTTCACACTGATTGTTGGGAAGGTCCTTGGAGAAGACATTGGTGGAAAACGTGAGTCAGGCTGCTGCAAGTGTGGGCAATAGCTGCTTGGGTCTTGACATGGGTGGGGTTTTTTCCCCCCAGATTTCATCTTCCATGGGTGGGAGAGAAGCCTTCGCTCATCCTGCCCTTTGCCCTGCAGCTCTCCTTCGTCCCTGTGGCCATCAGAATTTCCTTCACCTGGGGATGGGAATCGGGGTCATGTCCCATCCAAGTCTCCCTCCAGTCCTATACCAGTTCCTTCCACTAAGCTGGCAGCCTCCTAGCCCCTTGATTTCTGTTCTTTATCCCAGGAGCAGTAGCTGGCATGGTACTCACTGTGACAGGAATTACACTCTGCATCACAAGCTCAGTGACCAAGACCCAGGGCCAACTGTCTACCTTCTGAGTGGGCCAACCCCCACCTCCAGCAGTGCTGTGTTCAGGAAGCCCCTGGGCCCTGAGGTACAGGATGGGCCAGCGCTTGCCCTCTCTGAGCTTCAGTTTCCTCATCTCCTCTGGGGATGACATCTATCTCAGGAATCACAATAAGAGAAGAACAGTGAAAAGGTTTTGTGACCTTCAGGTGGGGTCAGCTGTTGAGATTCAGCACTGAGACTTACAGGCCACCCTCAGCAGCTTCTGCCCCAGCACCTGTCTTCCTGCTGTCGTCTCTAGACTATCAAGGTAGTAGGTTCCATGATCTGCAGACCCCAGCTCCATGGAAAGGCCTAGCTGCAGTCTCTGAACCAGAAATGTGACCAGGAGGCCTCCTCCTCTAGGGGAGCTCCAGTAGAGTGCCTTGGCTGACTTAGGGGTGGAATTGCATTAGAATGACAGATGTAAAAGAAATGAGCTGGCTGTGGGCAGAAATACTCAACTGTTAGCCCTTCTCAAACAAGCACCCAGCACCTCCTAGTGCAACACCCAGTACCACCAAGTGCAGCACCCAGCAAAACATTTGGCCAGTAGCAGCCTTTAATAAATCTGCAGCAAACAGAAGTTAGCAACTATTCTTTTATTACTTTTATTTTTAAAATATTTTTATTTTATGTGTATGAGTGTATTGCCTGCGTGTATGTACATTCACCTGTGTCATGCAATGCCTGCAGTCAGAAGAGGGCAATCAGATTCCCCTGGAACTGGAGTTATGGATGGTTATTAGCCACCATGCAGGTGTTGGGAAGCAAACCCAGGTCCTCTGCAAGAGCAGTCAGTGCTCTTAACTTCTGAGCCATCTCACCAGCCACCCCCTTTATTATTATTATTATTATTATTATTATTATTACCTTTTTTTTTTTGTCTTTTTGAGACAGGGCCTCCCTGTAGCTCTAGCTGGCCTGGAACTTGCTATGTAGACCAGGCTGGCCTCAAACTCACAACAATTCACCTGCCTCTGCCTCCCAAGTGCTGGGACTAGTGGTATGTGTCAGCATACCCGGCTCATTTATTATTTTTAATGTTTAAGAATTTATTTTTATTTTATGTCTGAGTACTTTGCCTGCATGTATTTAAGTGTTCCACTTTCGAGCAATGGTTACAGAGGCCAGAAGAGGCTAGCACATCCCTGGAACTGAAGTTAAGGATAGTTGTCAGCCACCATGTGGGTGTTGGGAACTGAACCCAGGTCCTCTGCAAGAGCAGCCAGTGCTCTTATTGCTGAGCTGTCTCTCCAGCCCACAGATAGTTTTATTATGACAAACCCACTCCCACACTTGTGGCCTTTCTCCTAAGCCCAGTCTGCTACTCCTTTTTTAAATTTGTTTTTATTTATTTATTTAGAGACAGGGTCTCATTATGTAGCCCCTGACTGGTTTGGAACTTGCTATGTAGACCAAATTAGCCCCGAACTCACAGAGGTCCTCCTTCTCAACCTCCTAGATCAAGGGTGTGTATCACAACACCTGGCCCATGATACTCCTTTCTCTGGCAGAAAATCTGGTAAGGAAATAGTTTCCACTCTGAGGAGCCTGCTGCTGTGGTCTCAGCTGGAAAACAGTGCTGCAGACTTGCAGACTGATGGGGTGGGGCTGAGGAGGCCATACTGGCTTGTGAGCCTACGGAGGTGTGGCTTCTCAGGAACAGGCGAAGGCTGGGGGCAAAAGGTGGCTAGGAATGGTTTCCTGGTTTCTGTCTGGAGCTTCTGGCATTTAAGATAGTGACGCTGAGGCTGAGGCCGAGGCTGCAGTGCCAAACTGGTGTTACAGGAACAAGGCCTCTTCCACTGTCTCTGCTGCCCTCTGGGGGAAGAGGGGAGACATACAGAACCACGTGTATGCCCAACCTGCATCAACAACCAGAGGTTCCCAACCCCGAAGACTAGGAACCCCAAAGACTAGGAACCCCGAAGACTAGGAACCCCGAAGACTAGGATTAGGACTGCTTCCTCACTAAGGAAGTAGGAAATTTCACTTTGAGATTTTAGGAGATCTGCTTAGAGTCAGTGGGGAAGAGGTGTTCCTGGAGCCCAGCACTGCCAGTTTCTAGCTTAGAGCTCTGCCCTCCACAAAGTACGGCTTCCCAATCTGATCCACAGACTAACCTGATCCAAGGGCTCCTCTGTGCAGGTGTTTTCATCTTCTACTTCCAGGGCCCCTGCTGTCTCCTTCCTTGGGTAGGAAGCCCCATATACTCCCTTAACTCCTAATGAAGGAGGCAACACTGGCTGATGCCCAGGCTGAAGGGTCCTGAGCTGCCTGTCTTTGCCTTCACCTGCCCAACCAGCTTCCTCCCTTCCCCTGAGCCTTGTTCCGCATTCCCTGCTGCCTCTGATGAAGGCAGGGATGTTAGAGGCTAGCCTTTGGCTCCCAGCTCCAAAGCCTCACAGCTTTGGGTTAAGTATTCTTTTGTCTTTTCCATGTACTTTTTTTTTTTTTTTTTTTTTAAATTGTACATGTGAGTGTATTGCCTGCATGTGTCCCCCCCCAAAACCCCCCCCTCTTGTGTTTTGTTTTCTTTTTGTGTTTTCCTTTTTTTTTTTTTTTTTTTTTTTTTTTAAAGTCTTTTTGAGAAAGGGTCTCCCTGTAGTCCCAGCTGGCTTGAAACTTGCTACATAGGCCAGGCTGGCCTCAAAATCACAGAGATCTGCCTGCCTCTGCCTCGGTGTGCTGCGATTAAAGACGTATGCCACTACATCTACATACTTCTTTTTTGTATAAAAAGTCCCTATGAAAGAAGCAAGGGATTTGGATAAAAAGATGGCTCAGCAAGTTAAGTGCTCACTGTGTGAGTTCTGTCATCTGGAACACATGTAAAGGTGGAAGGAGAGAACACATTGCAAAGTTATCATCTGACCTCCACATGTGTGCCAGGACATGCACACATCACACACACCATGCACATGCAATAATGAAGCAAGAAACATGCAGGTAGAGGAGTTGGACACATCCCTGCTGAGGCATTCTTCCCTGCAGACATCCCTAACAAGGACCATCCTGTTACTATCAAAGGGTGGCTGACCTAAGATAGAACTCTTTCCTTGCATGTGTAAGCATGAGGCTGAGGGGTCTGCTCCCAGCGCTCCCTTACCCGATGGAAATGGGAGAGTGGGGAGCTTGCTTCTGGGCTGGAAGGACTGCTGGGGTCTGGCACAGAAAGCAGATGGCTCAGTTTGTCTTGGTTCCTCTGGAGGAGGTTGTGTTGCCTGTGCCTTGTAACCCTGGGCCTACAGAAGGGACACTGGGCTAGAACCCTTGTTAGACGTTCTTACCTCCCCTGTTCCCCAATGCACGTTTCAGCATGCTCTGCTGCCTCTGCAAGCTTGGCACTGTGCCCATCTTTGTAGCCTGCATCCTCCTTCCCTGCCCTCTTCCTATTAGAAGACTGCCTATCCAAGGACATGGCTGCTGATGCCTGGCATTCAAAACTGCGTACTGAAATTAGGCTGCCTGCACCCCTCTGCCGCATGCCCACTGGCTCTGCGAGGGTGCGGGCCAGGAATGGGTAGAGGGGGCGAGGTTCCCTTGGCCTGCTATGCTTAGCTAGCTCTGTCCTGACATTCCATCTAGTGAGAAGGCCTTTGGCTTGGCCTGTGCTACTCCATAACTGTGTCACCCTGAACAAATCTTGGTTGTCATTCATACTTGTGAACTTGTTTCCATCTCTGGAAAATGGGGGAAATCTCTGCTTCACAGGATTACTGAGAAGATGCATGAGGTAAGATTGGAGTCTTCAGCCACTCTCCTTCCTACCCTGAGTCCCCTTTGTCACCTACCTCCTGCCTGTGTGGTTTACACCTTAGGCCCCAAGGATACCTGCAATGAAAGAAGAGGCTTGTATGAGCTGAGAGGACAGAATCTGCACCCAGAGCAGAGGGCACCTCCTCCACTGTGACCTGTCACCCTCCACCCCCACAAACATACCCACAGCCCCTGGATGGAGAGGGTCTGGGCACCAGCAGCTCCATATAGGGGAGGACCTGGAAATCCTCCTCTCCAACAGCCACATAGTAACAGCCACTCACCAGAGCAGCCCCTGCTGACAGCGAGAGCCCCTCGAGGGTACAGAGTCTGGGGGAAGAGGAGAAGGGCTGGAGGACAAGAGACTGCTTCCCATTCAGCAGGTGCTGAGGAGGCGGGTATGGCTCCTTTGGTTACAGAGGCTCTGCCCTGACTCCAAGGTCTGGGGCAGAGAACCCTCTCCTTGGGGCACAGGAGGAAGTTCTGCTGGAGAGAGCATGCCTGCCTTTGACTTCTTTGTCCTTGGGAAAAGCTGAAACCAGAGGGGCTCTCTGCAGACCTTTAGGCCTCCCTTGTCCCCACACTCACCTGTGGACAGCCCCACTCTGAAGCTTGGCCTTCTCAGTCAGGAGCTTCAACACAGTTTCCCAGTCCTGGATGGCAGTCTGGGACAGCTTCAGACTAAATGGAGGACTTAGTAGGTCCCCATTCCTGAACACACTGAGACAAAGAGCAGCCAGGTCAGGGGTCCTCAAGACTCCCTACATGTGAGAGAAGGGCATCACAGGAGCCAGGGGGGAGGGGAGAAGCACTACATGCTGGGCTTTTTCATCTTCCCACCAATGACCATTGTCTTGGTCTCACTGAGGCACAAGTCTGTACCCCTGCTCCCTGATGGCACTCACTGGATATAGCAGGGGTTGTCTGCTGGCAACCACTGTCCAACGGTCCTGTCACATGGGTGGTGAGACTTGGAAGGATCCTGAAACGAAGGCAGGCCTCCAAATCGGGAGAAAGTTCAGGACTTTGGTTTGGGGTAGGTTGGTTTAAGGAAATGGAGTGACGGTAGGAGAGTGAGTGGGCAGGGAAGGCCTGGTCACACCTTTCAGAAAGGGTGCTTCTGCCTTACACATTAACTGTCCTGTCTCCTGCCCTCCTGTTTCACAACTTCATTCCTGTGGGGACCACAGCCTGGAGACAAGGTAAAGGGCTGGACGAAAGCAGGGGATAGGATCTTGAAGTCCCATGACCCAGAGACAGCAGCAGGCTTTGGAGTGTGTATGGAATGCCCCAAGGAACCAATTGCTGTTTCCGGGACCCATCATTCCCCTCACCAAATCAGAGCAGTCCTAGGACAGGTAAGAAGACAGGGGCTCCCCTCAGGACTACTCACAGACTGTCGGCTGCTCTTTCCACCTGAGTGTCTCTCTCCAGGGGACAAATAACTGAAAGGACAGGTAGGTACCAGGTCTTGGGGAGGTCCAACCATTGTCCAGCCAGGTGTGTACCCATCACAACCAAGATCCCATGATGGCCAGGGCCGTTCTGTGCGACCGTTCTGCAGGGTTTTCTCCAAGAGTATTTTGGGCTGGGCTGGGCATGGTGTAGTGATACATGCCTTTAATCCCAGCACTCAGCAGGCAGAGGCAGGTGGATCTCTGAGATCAAGACCAACCTGGTTTATGTAGTAAGTTCCAGGCCAGCTGAGGCTACAGGGAGACCCTGTCTCAAAACATCAAAAACCAAAACAACAAAGAGCTTTCTCGACTGGCAAGATGGCTTAGCAGGTGAAGGTGCTTGCCACCAAGCCTGACAACCTGAGCCGAGTTGTCCCCACAGGCTGGTCCTGCTATGGTAGGATCCTGGTTGTTGTGGGCATAAGGCTCAGTAACAGCTTCAGTCTGAACTGCACCTCAATTTATTTGTTGCCTTTGTAGCAGGTTTTCCACTGTGCTGCTGCCTTCTGACTAGTACCTAGCCTCCCCCCAGGTTGTGAGAGAATAAGCCTGTTAACCCTGGGGTAAGGACTGGATAGGCTCTATTGCTCCCACCTTCTCCCTAGGCTCTTTAACCAGTCCCAACCCACTCACTGGAGCTTGTGGAACCGTTCAAAGCCAGCAGCCACATACTGCCCTCCATTCTGTAAGTCAGCCAGGTCACTGACAGGGTGGCCATCATGAGGCGTGTAGAGAGCACGTACAGCCAGTGGGGCCTGCACAGCTGATGTCACCTCATGAAGGAAAGCCTCCATGGTGGGGAAGCGGCGTTGGGTCACCACCAGCTGGTGACCTGGGAAGAAGGGATCCCCATTTCGGTATACCAGTACCCTCTTGGCTGCCATAGTATATCCTCAGACAGACACACAACTGTTGCCAGGCAACAAAGGCAGGGCTGGGCACTGCCACAGGTGGAGTCCTGCCCTCTCACCAGGAAGAACCTCAGGCAGGAGCAGTGGGCTTTTTTTTTTTCATTTTAAATTAGGGGGGAGGAAGGTAATGTGCAGGTGAATGCAGGTGCCTATGGAGGCTATAGGTTTGGAATACCCTTGGAGCTGGAGTTGCAGTTGTGAACCATCCAATGTAAGTGCTGAGAATTGAACTCAGGTCTTCTTGCAAGAACAGTTTGTCCTCTTTAACTACTGAACTGTCTCCAACCCCATGAAGCATTTTTCAGAATTCAGGATCTCATCACATCTGCCCTTGCTGGGCCTCAGTAGAGTCAGATAGGCCTGATCACTTCATATTTTACATTTTTTGCAGAGATAGGATCAAACCTTGGGCCTTGTATTTGCTAGGCAAACACTCTACCACAGAGCTGTATCTCCAGCATGGTATGATCACATCTTGAAAGGAAGACTTACTGGGTGTGGTGGCACACGCCTTTAGGGAGGCAGAGGCAGGTAGATCTCTGTGAGTTCAAGACCAGCCTGGTCTACATTGTGAGTTCTATACCAGCTGGGGCTACAGGGAGACCCTGCCTTAAAAAAAAAAGAAAAGAAAAAGAAAGGAAGACCTGGGGCTCAATGGATGGGAACAACAGATTCACGCATAGATGTTCCAGTTCTCTCCAGAGCTTGGGTTCCTCAGACAGCTGACCTCAAGGGAGATCAGCCTGGCGGTTGTTCTCCAAGGAGGGTGGCTAGCACTGTTCCTGGCTCAGGATGATGCCTCTTGCTAATGAGAGGTGGTCAGGAGGGCCCAGAGTCTGATAGGCAGGAAATAAAAGCAGTCGGGCTTAGAACTCAAGAAAAACTTTATTCTCCTCCAGTCTTCCCATCTTATTGTCCCTAGACAACTTAACATGAAATCTGAATTAAGCTACAGGCAGAAGCTGAAAGGGTGTCCTCATCATCTCGCTGAACCCATGCCAGCTGTATGATGCAGCTTCTCCTGGCCCTACCAGTTACCAATGGCCAGGGCAAGCACAAGCGGTAGAGGTGGCACCAAGGAGCCAGGACAAGGGCCTACCTTCCTCATCACCTCCCCTTTGGGAATCTGTTCCTCTCCTGACTCCCCAGGGCTTGCCTGATGGTCCGGCTTTCCATGACCTGAACCTTCACTGGTCCTGTCCTGTGGAGCACTTTATCTCCATGGAACAGTTCTCTGGCTTTCCCATCCTTCTTGACTAAGCTCACTGGAGGTTCCATGGCTGGAACCTCTATCACTAGGGGTCTGGCCTTTGGGGAGTTTAGTTTGAGATCCACACTACCATGTTCCAGCCCTGCCAAAGTCCCATCCCATATCACATGGCCCTCCAAGATGCTCAAATTGAGTGGGCTGGCTCTTTGGCAATCAACTTCTTCCATAGTTTGGCTTTCTGGGAGATCTGTTCTCAGTATTTAGATCCTCACAAAGTATGGGCTGTCTTGGCCTTCCCAGAACAAGGGCTCCTAGGCTTGATGCCCCCAGGGGTCTGGTCCTCCAGGTGTTTGATCTGCCGCAAGCAAGTTCTTTTAAAGGTCTGCTCTCCATGGTCTGGCCCTTTGGTGAATCTGTCCTCTCCAGCCTGGATACCTGATGTTGCAGGCAGCTGTGGTCCAGCCTTCCTATAGCACTGTTCCCTGGTCTTAGTCCCAGCAGTGGTTTGGTCTGTAGTGGTGAGACTTTTAGAGGATTTATATGATTTGCCTCTCTGGCATGAGTCTGCACGGTCTGATTGTCCTGTGGTCCTGTCTCCATATGACTGGTCCTCTTGTAGGCAGCTTGGCTGTGACCAGGCCATCTCACAGATATCTTCCTGGAAGTTGGCAGGCTTATCTCTGATCTGGCCTGCTTCTGGGGATCTCAGCGTTTGCTTGAGAAGGAGGTACTGTTGGGAGAGAACAGATACTGCACTCTACCTGTGCCTGCTCAGGCATGGCAGGAGACCTCCCTACCCTTGACCTGCCAGAAAGGGTCCCAGTTACTGCCTACCTCCTTTCGACTGTTGATGGCCTGTTGTAGCCACAGCAGTTCCATGGCCAAGTGGTTTCGGTGGTATTGGAGCTCCTGGAGCTCCTGCTGGTTCTGGGACAGTCCTGGACCGGTGGCTTCATTGAAGGAAGGAGAATGCCTTGAGGGGTAGACTGTGGGAAATGGCCTAACCCTGGCAACCCTCTCTGCTCACCCAAGTCTCCCCTACCAGGCAGAGGGAGGGAGCAACTTCTCTAGCATTCTTTCACTTTTCAGTTAAGAGGGTGAGACCAGAGAGGGTTGGGGGATTGCTCTGATCTAGTCAAGAGAGGTACCTGGGTTCTCCACATTGGAGATGGAGGCGTTTCTGGTCTTCTCCTCACTGGCTTTCCTGCCCTGCTCAGCCACAAGGCAGCAGCTGTCATCTCTGCAGGGAAGGCTTCCTGGATTTGCTGAGTTCTTCGGCACAGTCTCTTCCCATGTGGTCTCTTTCTCAGACTCTTTACACAGAAAGTGGCTCCATAGTTCCTGCTTTGGATTTGGTATTCTTTCCCCTGCTTTCCAGGGGTAATGAAATCCTGCCGTCTAAGAAACGGGAGAGGTATGAGAATCCCAGGGTTAAACCCCTGCAAGTATCTGGGCACCAGAAGCTAGTAGGCAAGTGGGTAGAATTACAGATTGGAGTGTGAGGAAATCTGCTGCCTCTTCCAGTGACAGGCTTGTGAGCAGGAAGAATGGGGGGAGGGCTCTTTACCATTCCCCAGAACCCCCTGCCAGGTTGTTCTTCCCTTTTTCCCCTGGGGTGTATACTACCTCTGGGAATTGGGGCCTGGGAATCCAGCCCTTAGACCACTGAAGTGTGCCCAGGTCCCCCTCAATTTCCTGGACAATCGCCTCATACTCAGCTCGAAGGCTCTGGAACTGACGACGGACCAAGAAGCCCCGCATGCTGGCCTAGGGTGGAGAAGGAGAGGGGAAAGATGATTCTTTCTGCCTGCCTCTGTCTCCGGAGTGCTGGGATTCAAGGCGTGTGCCACACGCTGGGACTGAAAGATGATTCCTAAAGCTTTTAGAAAAGGCTATCTTAGTTAGGCCAGGTGTGGTGGTGCAAGCATGCTGGATTTTTTTTTTTCAGCCGGAGCATCAAACCCTGGGCCACGCACATGCTAGGCACTCTGAGCTACACCCCAAATAAAAGGCAAGATCTTGGATGATCCTGGAGAGATCATCCCGGGATCTGCTGGAGGGGGCCACCGCCACGGGGAAAGGAAGTGCTGTGGGGCTCTAGGTGCCCGGATCGTCCTCGCTCTAAGGTCCTTCCAGCTTTTGCCCTGGCCCCGCGCGAGCTCAGCAATGTTCAGTGCGAGGCAGAGGGCCCGAATCTCTCAAGGTGGGCACGACTGGAAGCGACATCTTCATCTGGCGGGAAGACCCGCTTCGGGACCCCAGTTGCCCACACCGCCGGACCGAACCTGCAACACCAGCACCTTCCGAAGAAAGGCCTCGGGCTCCATCAGTACGCCAACCGCCCCCGAAGTTGCCGCGCTAGCACAAGGCGTCATTAGGCGGCGCCGTTAACACAGGACCCCGCCCCGCCATCTCCATGGCAACCGTCTAGTTCAGGCGACTTCCGGGCCCGAAGGGCATGCGCGCCCCACCCCCTCCCGAGCGCGCCTCGGAGCGCAGCGCGGGGAAAGCGGAAGCAGCACACCGAGTCGCTTTCTATCTGTTTAATTCCATCCAGTGACCCCCACTCCCATAGCACCTGGGGGGCTGCGGAGTATCCGAGTCCGTAAAAAATCACAGTTTTAGGGAATGACCCAGCCTGGGCTGGGTCCGAATCTACGCAGCTGCCTGCTCCTCGGGCTCGGCGTTCTCCGCCAAGTGCAGCTTCTGTCTGTGTTGGTCAAGGACCGCGACCCTTTGCACTCGGTCTTCCCATCCTACACGGACTTACTTTCCCCTTTTCCCTACCGGTGAAAAAGGTGGGCAGTGATCTGAGGTTGCACTTCCCACCTGCCCTTTTTTTCTTTTTCTTTTCTATTATTTACTTTTTTTTTTCAAAGGCGTGAGCCACCACGCCCGGCTATTATTTACTTTTTTAAGAAATACTTTATTTGGGCCGGGCGTGGTAGCGCACGCCTTTAATCCCAGCACTCGGGAGGCAGAGGCAGGAGGATCTCTATGAGTTCGAGGCCAGCCTGGTCTACATAGTGAGTTCCAGGACAGCTGGGGCTACGGGGAGACCCTG